AAACTGCCAAACAAAGCCACTGGCAGCCAGCCCTCCACCGCTCCCCAGGAGCAGTCTGCCAGCTCCCAGGAGAAGGCAGGCACCTTTCTGGTCCAGAGCAGAGATCAGGGACCTTATTCAGGTTTGAGGGGGATGCCCCCAACATCCATGATCTCCGCACTAGATAGAGGAACGCAGCTGTCTATGGCAGGATAGCTGCCAGCCTGGCCACCAAAGGCCACATGCAAACCCAGGAGCAGGTTTGCATGACAATCTAGTTGGTCGGGCGAGACCCCCAACCCTGAGCTTTCCCTCCCAATTCTTCCCTTTGCTTCCCTCTTCTAGCTCCCTCCTCCCAGGTTTCCCTCTCCCCTCTCCAGCCTCCTTTCCACAGTCTCACCAGAGTTTAATTCCCCCCCCCAGTTTTGTGACACATTACTCCCCCCAGTTTTGTTAAATAAAGACAGTTTGTGTTTATGAAAAACATGTATTTTATTTGACATCAGGAAGGGAGGCTGTTGGGGGGTAGAGTGGAAAGACGTGAGGGAGGAATGAGGCACAAGCCCCCAGTGGGGCAGACTAGGGAGACTGTTAGTGCTCCTCAGGGTGGAAGCTCTCCTGCAGGGCCTCCTGGATACTGACAGTCCCCCAATGGACCTCCCGGATGGCAGCCTGCAGAAAGTGCAGCCAGGCTCACAGCAACGCATCCAAGAGAAGTACCAGAGTGTCCGGGGCAGCTCTGGCTCCATGCTGCTGAGTGCTGTGGTGTCCCGAGTGAAGGCAACCAGAGTATGAAAATACAAAATGCTTTGCTGTCCCTCATCGAGGTAGACAAGCAAGCAGGGAAACCTGAGAACTGGCTGACCAGGGGGGTCCCTTTAAGCACAGACCTCAGATAGCCTCAGGAAGCAGCCCCACACAGTAAGTCCTGACCTGGTGCCCTGCCAGAACTGGTTCCAGCCAGCCTTAAATGTGATTCAGAGTCTACTCAGTGTGGACATGCTATTTTGAAATAGCAAAATGCTATTTTGAAATGCATTTTGTGTGTAGATGCGTTATTTCGAAATAAGATATTTCAAAATAACACTGTAGTGTAGACATACCCTATGAATTTAATTTACTACTTTATTGGTTTACCTTATCCGTTTAACTTCCAGCCACCACCAGGACCCTGTGGAGTGTTTAACTGTGTAAACCGACTGAATTGCAATTGGGTACCCAATTAGTGGTTGTTGTTTTTTTAATTTTACATACCTACATAAAAGTGTGAAGGGTTGTTTAATTCCTCTGAGAGTTCATTTGGCAGCTCTTTCACCTTGTACTTTGATTGCTGGTGGACCATTATCTCTGTGTGATACAATTTAAAGGCTGAGGAAGGCATTATCTAATTTTATACACTTGAGAGAGAGCCAATTCCTCCATGGGATTTTAATTTGGCTTTTATTTATGCTTATGAAGCCACCTTTTGAATCTTTGACAGAGTGTTATTTATTTTACTTATCTATTAAAATTATTTTTATTATTGGGATAGCATCAGCCAGAGGAATGAGTGAACTGCACCCTTTGATGGCTGATCTGCTGTTCACTGTTTTTCATAAAAACAAACTGCTTCTTACACTTCATCTCAGGTTTCTACTGAAAACAGTCTCTGAGTTTCATATCAGTCTATTAGTCACAGGCTAACAAAGGGGAATCTGTATGGCATATTTTAGATGCTAGAAGGGTTTTTAGCATATTATTTAAATAGAACTAAGGGCATGTCTACACTAACTCGTTAATTCGAGCTAGGTAGGCAAATGAAGCCCGGGATTTAAATATTCCAGGCTTTATTTGCATGTTCCTGTCCAGTCGCCATTTTGAAATTTCACTAGCCCGAGCTCACTACCGCGCGGAAGCCCGGGATATTTAAGTCCCGGGCTTCATTTGCAACTCCAGTCACCTCATTTGCCTACCTAGCTCGAATTAACGAGCTAGTGTAGACATACCCTAAGCGTTTTAGGAAGTTATCTAGATTATTTGTTTCATGTGTTAAAACTTGCCTGGGTCATAGAGTAGCTCCTAAATTGATTTCCAGATGGGTTAAACAATGTATCATTCAATGTTACAAGTTAGCAGCAGTCCCTGTGCCTACTGTTGTAACATCTCATACTACTAAGGATGTGGCAGTATCTTTTGCAAAAGTATTCCTGTTGGGAGAACTCTGTATGGCTAGTGAGTTAAAAGTAAGTCCATACCTTTACCGAACATTATGCTTTGGATTTGGCTTCAAGAGTGGATGATAAATTTGGTTCAACAGTCCAAATTGATTGGGACTGTTTCCCTCCTTCTTAGTTTTCAATACTGCTTGCTGACCTTACCCACAAATGAGGATATGCAAAGCCACTAAGAAATGGAGGTTACTCGTATCCAGAGTTCTTCAAGAGTATTCTTCGTATCCACACTTCCTGCCCACCTTCCCCTCTTTCTCAAAGTCTTACTGTGGTTTTTCTGGGTTGGCAGTGGCAGGAACTGAAGCAGTAGAGGGTGCAGTGCTACCTTATGTAGTTCAACCTCCTAACATTTGGAGACATTGAGGAAGAGCAGAGTGTGGAAGGGGCATATACCTTTAAGCTGTGCCTGGTGATGCAAAATCTATAAGTGGGAATATGCAGAGTCATCTCAAAGAATTCTCATTACAAGTAAATAACCTTCATTTTCTCATGATGCCAAGATAAAAGAGGAATGACCCTCTGTCTTCAGTTCCTGTCTTACCATAATATCCCCTTTGGACTCAAAGAGGGAGTGCAATGCATATTCTGAATTAGTTCCTCCGCCAGGTAACACACTCGAACAGCACATATTTAAGAGGTCTTCCACTGTCAGAAACAAAAGGGATCCTGTTAATTATTGCAACATGATAGCCAGATACCTAAATCCAAGGGTTCTGTAAAGCCAACTCAACATAGTGTAGAGTTTTCATTCTGAAACGTACAGTTTTTTAGTGTTTGCATTGTACTTTGCTGTAACAATTTCTCAAATGCATCAATTAAAACATCAAATTTTTAAATGACCTTTTCAAAGTAAAAAAAAAAACGCACAAGAGTGAGAAATAAGTAGAAATTTCTATACTGAATATAGTGTTTTCAGTAAACAATTCAAGTGACATAATACAGTACCTCTTTGTTGGAAGACTTTGTTTTCCAGTTCTGGCCATGGTTTCCAAACCAAAGTTGCGTTGTGCATATCTTTCCCCACTGACGATCGGTCTTGTAGTTCAGGAATTTCAGCCTGGAATCTTGATCCAATATTGATATGTCTGTAAAGAAATAAAAAGGGATCTCAACAATAAGATTTACAAAGAGGAGAAATATTACCTTTTATTTTAACTACACACTTGAGATGTTCTCCAGGAGTACCCTGAGTTGTGAGGCATCCTTAGCATGAGTGATCCTTGACTGTACCTGCCCTGAATCAGCTCATTGATAACGCAGCCCACAGACAGAACAAGTACTCTCCCATCAGCCCCTCAAGGCTCTGCTGTCCCTCTGCAGGCAAGAAACAGGCAAGCAGCTGGTATATACCAACTGCTGAGCATCCCCCTGCAGTGCCCAGCCTTTGTTCCACCAAATACTCACAAAATTCACAGATTCACGTCTCCAAAAGGAACAGTACATGACTTACTAGTTAAACTCAAGATCACCATCCACTTAACACACTGCACTTAGAGATATTTATAGTGAGAACAAGAATATGTTTATCATCAAAAAACAGAGATTCAAATGATACCAAGAAAATCTGAAAAAATGGTTACAAATAGAACAAACTTGCAACATACTCGCTAGAACCTAAACTTAATTTATAGATATTGTCCTGTCTCCTACAGGATAGCTCACCCCAAGTTCTTTTCTCCTGTGTTTTAAACCAGGATGTCTGTGACCATCTTTTCATTAGATCAAGGTCACTGGCAGCTTGTCTTCACAGCCTGAAAAATCCCATGTGAACCTCCATATTCCAGTTGTATTCCCAACAATTCACAGTCTTTACTTGTATACAGGGTAATCCTTGCTGTTTTGTTGGGTTTTTTTAATTCCTAGTGCACTCATAATCTATTCATAGGAACTGCACCGGGACACGCCATGGATCCGGCGCAATTCATGGAGTGGGTTAAGGAGACCCAAAGGCAAAACCAACAGCAGCAGTCAGCCTTAATCCAGCAGCTCACCACCCAGCAACAAGAGCAGCAAAAACAACTGATCCGGGAGGTAGCCGAGCAAATGAAGGCGCAACAGGAAGAGTGGATGAGACGATATCCACCGGCAATGGTGACCCCCCTGAGTCCAGCGTGCCCCGAAGAGGAGGGGCCAGCAGGAGAGGGGGAGGTGGTACGCCTGCCCATACGGCTAACTAAGATGGGGCCGGCTGACGATCCTGAGGCATACCTCGCCACCTTTGAGAGGGTGGCGACGGTAGCCCGGTGGCCAGAATCCCACTGGGGGTATGTCTACACTACCCCGCTAGTTCGAACTAGCGGGGTAGTGTAGACATACCCAGGGATAAGTGTCTCCCTCTTGGAAAAGTTTGTCTGCCTGCGGTCTCTGAGTGACCAGCTTAACTCCAAGGCTTAAAGACATAACTTTAGTATAGATACATAACTGATTGCACATATGTCTTGCAATGCTTATGACCACAAGCAGGATCAATTTAATTGGTGAATCCAGGTAAACTTTAGACCCCTGTGCCCTCTGCCAGTGGACATGAAGAAGTCCTTGCATCACTGTGTCAGACTATCTTGCAACATAATGTTCAATTAACCCTGCTATCACTGAAGCAAATGTTGTATTATAAAGATCTCATGTTTAAAAAGTTGCGTACAATTACAGCCCAGTTTAATCAGATTGGGAAATAGGTCTTCATAAGTAACAGGAGAGAGATGATGGATATTACTGTATAAAAAACAGGACAAATGCAGGTCAGTTATACCTCCTTGTCCAGTAGGGGATGACACCTCAGCAGAGGGACAGAGGTGATAATACTGTCTCTATCCACTCTTGGTATCACACCAGGGGAAGGAAAGTTTAACACCTCCCATAACTCTATAGGGCAGCTGCCAAGGCAAATACTGAATCAACATACAGCTGCCAAGGCAAATACTGAATCAACTTCCAGCCAGCACCAGCTACATTTGTGACTTTCCTGGCCCTTCGTAGCTCTCCCTTGCTTAAGGGAAGTCAAGCTGGTTTGCACTGCCACAATCTCATCTCTGGCAGATTTTCTGCCTACGGTGACCTCAGCCAATGTTTACACTGGTATAACCTTGAGTGCCTCCTGCCAAGAAGTATGGTATTACCTGCATTGTTCAAAATATACAAGACCACATTCTCTAGGTGAAAGAGGCTGAAATAGGCTGTAAAGTGATACATATTGATAAATTTTTCTTACGGTTCTATATCAACAGTCTGTTCTCCTGGCCCTGGAGTCACTGGAATGCTGCTTCCATCAATACTATCTGAAACAGAAACATGGATTTGATTTTCTCCATTTAGAAAGCTATTTTCTTAATTAGCATACCATTTTTGGTCCTCTACTGCCCCCAGAAATCAATAAAAACATCGGGTTATAGTTGGTACATTAGCGTGAATGTACCAGGGCCTCAAGAAACCAGGTATAGTGTGTCTGGGCATAAGCTGCAATTTCCAATAGCACCAATTTCCACACTGATGACCGCTGTGTTCTGTTTACATTTTCCTGTATAAACTACATGCTTAGTTGTACATGTTAGCTTTGTATCTGCCACCAGGCTGACACCCAAGCCTACAATGGTCTCCTGTTATCATATGCTAAACACATTCTCCTCCTCCTCCAAATTTCTCTTTAAAATTTATTCTCCCATCAATCTCTCCTATTTCTTCCTTACTGATAATCCCACAGACTCCCTTAACTGATCTATTGTCCTATGTATTGCTTAAATTGTAAATTATGGGTCAGGAAGCATGTATTGCAATGCAAAGCACCGAGAATGTATTTATAACACCACAGAAGTGATTTTGTAAATCAGTGGAACACAATTAAAAGAAAAACACCACAACCAAATCCTCAAAATCCATGTCAGCTGTCAGCATGTTACAGTATCTCTGAAGAAACTAAGGAACAGAGCTTAAGGAGAGTATAATAATGAGTTAATTTATAATAAAAAGTAGGTTAATTTCTCTACCTTACTGGGGACTATTTCTAAGTTACTTAAGTTATGATTAATATGTTATTTCTGCCTTTGACAGACTCTTCCAATCTAGCTAATATGGATTACCACTCATATACACCTTTTAGATCTTTTCTATGCATACGCTTTATAAACATTTAGATAACAGTGTCTCAATCGATGTATGCTGGGCTTTAAACAAAGTATTTACAACCACAATCATGTAGTCTGATATTATCAAATATTTCTTCACCTATAAGACAACTTTCAAATTCCTTGCACCATTTGAGGAGGTTCCCCTTCCATTACAACAGTGTGTTCTTTGAAATAAATATATTCTGATTTTTTTTCACTTGAAATTTACCTGTCCAGTTCCTGGTTTAAACCCAACCCTATAAAATCCAGAAGAAATGTACTTACCTGGAAAAACAGACTTTGTTGAACAGGAAAAGTAACAGTAGTTTGTGTGTGTGTGTCTTGTCCTTCTCCCAAGATGATTATTCCAAAACAGAAAGCACACAGGGAATATAATATAATAGTATTTTATGTAAGATGTGAATTTGGACTCAGAAAAAGTGATACATTAGATAAAATACTTACTAGATCGACATAGGAGCACCCGGGGAGTGGGTGTCAAAGGAGTAAGTGGCAGCTGGGGGTGAGATGCATTATGAGATGTGATAACGCTACTGAAGAGACCAGATCCATGACGTACTGGGCTAAGCATAGGTGGTGGGGTATAAGGAGGAAACTCATGTGTCCTGTCCAGGAGATGGTCCCCTAGGATGCGGGGAGAGCGAAGTTGGCTTTGATACAGTGTAGCTCCTGACAAGGATGCACTGAAGTTGAAGGAAGGAGGAGGTATGAAGAGTGGTTCAGGTCTATGTCGATATTTTTTCTTGTCCTGCAGGGGTTTGAAATCTTCTTCCAATTTTGCAGCACTTTGATGATGTTTTCTGCCAAGTTCCTAAATGAAAATTTATAGCATTAAAATATGTAGCTATGATTAGTTCGATTACATTATGTATAGTTTCCAAAAGCCAATGGTAACAGCAGTGACAGGAAAGCTGTTAGTAACTGACGGCTGTTCATGGCCCTATGTGGAATGAGTCCAGTGATTTTAGTCCAGTTTTTTTTAACCCAGCAGGTGCCCATATGACTAAATATCAACATTACAACTGGTACAGTTGGCAATCTTAAGGCAGAGAGAATGAATTACCCTTTCACCTTCAGAAATCATCCCACTAGGGCAGAGGAGGACTGTAAAATAGATGGTTAGGCCAGTGGAAGAGTGGTGTTTGCCACCACCAGCATTTAGTGGCTAGCAAGAGACCCTAATGCCGAGATGTCATCCTAGCATTTTTTACCAGCACCCGTCACACACACACACACACACACACCATTTACAACTAGGGATGGACATTTTAATCAAAACGGTTAACTGGTTAAACGATTAAAGTTACATTGTTTAACTGGTTGGTGGGTGCAGGGCATCCGGAGGGTGGGGGTAGGATCTTACTGGGGCTGCAGAGTCTGGGTCCACCACAGCAGGGATGCAGTGGCTATGAGTAGGTATTCCAACCTGGCAACCAGTTGAAGCTGCTCTGGCCCTTGGGCTGGGGGCTGCTTCAGCACCACCACAGCTGGGGTCCTGTCAGCTGGTCCGCCATGGGTAGGGAGGCTGCTCCTGTGGGCTGGGCCCTCCAGTTAACTGGAAGTTAGGTCCATAAAACAGGACATAGGTTCTTATGGTGACCCAGTAAGCATGCTGGAAAGGCATATGCTTACCGGGTAACTGGTTAGCTCTTTAAACTTTAACATTCCTATTTACAACTTCACAAAACTTACATTGGTCATCCAGGAGTTATTCCATCTACCTCTCCAAAGTGAGTTTATTAGAAAATTATATGTTTTCCAATACATTGACTTGGCTTTAGTAGGATGGACTCATTTGAGTTCACTTTAATAACTGCATCATCGCCACCGGCAAAAGATGGGAAAAATATAATACATTCAAATTATTTGCCTCTTATCACTATATTCCCATCTGTTGGGTGGAATCCAGCTGCAAGGAATCTTGTATTAATTTTCTTTTTTCTTGGCAGGGAAAATGGTAGCAGATGACAATTGGGTACATAACAGCATTATACATTTCAATAATTTGGAGATTAAAGACATTTACCACTTTGGTCTATAAAAAGTGACAGCAATTGGAGTTATGCACTGAAATCTGACTTTCAGTGCCAATGGTTAGACAGCTTTTCAAAATGCACACAAGGATCACACACATACTTAGTTTTAAATATACTATTTTCAGATGCCTAGATTTGAGATCACTCATGATCCATGTGATCTTCTTTCACTTTTTTGAACACAGGATATTCACCATCATGAGTGATCTGTAGTGATCACCTGTGGAACTCCTTGCCAGAGGATGCAGTGAAGGCTAGAACATTAACAGGGTTCAAAAAAGAGCTAGATAGATTCATGAAGGTTAAGTCCATCAATGGCTATTAGTCAGGATAGGTAGGAATGGTATCCCTAGCCTCTGTTTCTCTGGAGGTGGATGACAGGGGAGGGATCACGTGAAGATTACCTGTTGTGATCCCTCCCTCTGGGGCATCTGGTAGTGGACACTGTCGGCAGACAGGATACTGGGCTAGATGGACCTTTGGTCTGACCCAGTATGGCCATTCTTATGTTCTTATTTATGATAAATGTGGGTAGGGGGTAGAAATTCCTGGATAGATAAAGATATATGAAAAATTCTATATAATCTATTTAATATTATTATTATATACAAATACATTATTACTGAATGTGTTTAGATAACATATCAACCCCATGGGTGGCTCTTGACAAGCACACTCACCCAACCATAAGTATGTTAAAAGAACATTTCCACTGTCAGCTT